CGCTTCGCTTTCAGGAGAAGGGAAGCCTGCTGTTGTTATGAACATGAGCACGAGGCTATCAGCTGACCACAGAGTGTTCGACGCAGGAGTGGCAGGTACGTTAGCGATGCTTGTCTTTTTTTTTTTTTTTTTTTTTTTCCGGTTTGGCAGGGTCCGGGACTGGGTGATGACAATCCCTTCCCTTTCACCGGGTGCAAATTCTGTGAAAAGGCAGAGAGAGAGAGATAGAGAGAGAGAGAGAGAGAGAGAGAGAGAGAGAGAGAGAGAGGACTGCAGTTGCCTTTTCTCGCACATCAAAGATTCTGTGAAGAATCCACGAGAAGAAGGAAGGGTGGGGGTCGCACAAGGGGCAGGAAATCCTGTGAAAAACGAGTTCGAGTGATAGATACCGTCCTTCCGTACTAAATGTGGTTTCTTGACCAGAGAAGGACAAAAAGAAAAAAAGAAAAGACTCCTTTTCTAAATAAAATAAAAAATGAAGTTTTTTATTTCAATATGTATTATATTTTTATTATTTTCTGATTTTGCAGTGGACTTGGTTTTGTTGGAATTCAATAGCTTTTCCGGGATTGGAAAACAGAGCATCTCCCCTGTGATCCTCGTTGATATATATATGCGGCCACTATTTTTCATGGTCTGATACAGGGGAGACGCTCAGCTCGAGGTTGAGGGTCTGAAGCCTGGCGACCCCGCGGCTCTTTTAAAGTTTTTTTCTTGCTTGCGGCCACATGAAAAGTGAACTCACAAGCTCACACATAATCGACGGTATCGAGGCGTAATCAGAAGATACGACACGTGGATCACAGCACGTGAAAAAGCGCAAAGTTGCGAATCAAACACAACAGTTTAAGTTTTAAATACTAATATTTAATGTTTATCATCACCGTCGTCGCTGCTGGCTATTCCCCCTCCTATGCACGTTTGCACTGACGATCGGCTGAACGACCGTCCGTGGACATGGATCAAGCGAAATTAATAAATTAGTAAAACTACGAAAAATTGGTATTAATAATTTTACTAATTAATAAAATTAGTAAAATTACGAAAATTTGGTATTAATAATTTTACTAATGAATAAAATTAGTAAAATTA